TGACCCCCCTATCCCCCCGGTGGCGCCGTCCCTGGGCGAAATAGCAAACTTTTATCTTTTCTTCCACATTGAGATACTCTCAAAATGAGACTAGACCAATCTGGCTGTAACAGCGTTACGAAAACAAACTTATTTTTGAGCTTCAATGAACTAGAAGTATACAATAATATTTGTCTATGCTATTGCATATAGCTTTGGCAGAAGAAATGACAACAGGTAATTATATGATGAAAGAAAAGGAGATACATTTGCTCGGCATACTATAAGGCTCAACAATGAAAGAAGTGGTGTACGAGGACAACCAATAGCAACCGTTCTGGAAAGAAGTGGCGTAACCATGAGGTGGACTGCAGTGGTCTCAGCTCATTCTAGAATGTTTTTAGTTCTCACAAAAAATAGAATTTCTTTTATTTTTAGACCTATTATCAGCAGAATAAGTTGGATGCATCGGTTCATCATATTTAATATTCGATGTTTTACCTCGACTGAAAGCGAAAATGAGCGTGATTTCTAAAACTGACCGAAGAATTAATGAGCTTTTCCTGACGAGAGATTGTATTTCCTCACTTCCTACTATGGCGAAGTTTTCGATTTAGTAATAGTATTCTCAGTATACATTCACGAGAAACTATGGAGATTCATTTACTAGACTCAAATCATGGATCCCATTGAGAACGAGCCTTGACTTAGTGACTGTTATTGTCATACAGATCACAAAAGCTCTTGTCAAATCGCATTGATTCATACGCGAAAACAGGAATTTCGAATTTTTCCTTCTGAAATATTGTTTGCGAGAAAATGTAAGGTACATAAACCGGATTTTTAACACGAGTGTTGCTTACCCAAAAAACATATAATAGTGAAAATAGAAACTTTTTCTTTGAATCAATTTTATGACAGTCATATTGAAGATTTTGTTGTACCAATTTTTCTTTGGCTCTCTACGCTTTCTTTTTTATCAGAGCTATAATGGTTGGCAAACTAATTACATATCTGATTAGGTTATTAAAAATTCGATTTATATCAGTAAAATTAGTTAAAATTCTTTCAAAAAACTGACTCTTACAATCAAATCTTTTTTGCTCGGAAACAGTTTCCAGAACATATTCTAAAAGTCTGTGATGCTATCGTAACGAGAAAAAACGAGCATACTGGTTTAAAACCACTCCGTCTAATTCAATTAGACTGGAATTCTAGCTCTATTTCCACTAAAATTAAATGAAAGGTCCTGTCTAATTAAAATTGATGTTCGATTTCGACTCGAGTTCATTCGTTTATTCGAAACAAAGACGCATGACTTTCAAGTAGATTCGTGACCAAACTTGATTGATGAGATCCACAGACTAAACATATTTGAAAATTCGATTGATTACGTTCTAAAACAGATAGATCTTCTTCTCTATCCGTCGTTAATGGAATCATTATACTCTTCTATACATTTCGACATGAAATAGTCAATTCGTTTCTCACGATGTCTATTTTTCATTGCTTGAAGCATTCGATCAATTGAAGTGGAATATTCTATAATTAGGATATTCGAATAAAAATCTCGTGAGAAATGCTTCAATGAAATGGAAATGATCTTTTCATGAAAGATTTTGTCGAATCTCTTGATTTTTCAAATATTTTCTTTTAATCATTCGAGTAACTGAGAACAAACTCAAATTGTGCAAAATTTCATTCGAAGAAAATCGATTCGCCGCATCGTAGATCATTGCCAATCGATGCATGGTATCTAACGTACTGCAATAAGTCTTGATAGATTCAATGATCTCTGTCATTGTCGCTATGACTGCAAAGAAATAAATACTATAAAAATTTTCAGTTGAAAACTAAGTGATTTCTATTCATCATGTTTAATCAAAATCGAGTGCCAGATTTAGTATTATGTTTCACTTAGTCTATCCAAAATTACTATTTTAATGATCGTTTTGTGACATAATCCATGTTTAAGTTCGAGTTTACATAAGTACGCATTGATGCACAAGTTGAGTTATTTCATGATAACAGACTACAACCACTGAAAACTCAGAAGAACACCATTATTTTCACATGTATGCTGAAAATATGCTAGCAGAGATAAGTTCACGAGAAAACGATGGAATAAATTATGTTAGAAGAGAATCTCTATCCAAAACGATTAGTGGTGGATTTTATTCATACATTGGCAATAATGCACAATTCTTAGCCAGAAAAAAGTTTATTGTTTGGACTTTCCAACTGTAATACAGGAGACTAGTTTTTGTGATTTCATTATCTCAAGAAAGATAAAATAAAACAGTTTTTAGCATGGAAGCACATTGTGAAGATATGCATTTAGTCTATTTAAAGTATATTCTTTGAAATTATAAGTTCATTTCACATTTTTGAATTGTTTGGTCCAGTATATACCCTTACAAAAGCTTTTATCAAAGAGTCAATAGCTGACTTCTGCAGGGTAGACTGTACTTTCTCCGAATATATGATGGGCTTCTACTACTTTATTGTAGTCAGTGGACGAAGTAATTCTTATGAAAAAAGATGCATTTTTGCCCGTGCAAAATAATAGGTTCACTTAAAATGTCTATCGAAAATTTTTTGACTGTTCATCGACATTTACTCGTCATCGCATCTCATACTGTGTACTAGTGTTTTACTTCACATAGCTTCAAGACAGTCAACCTTCTGCATGTTCTTGGACAAAATCTGTTTATATTTCTACAGCCATCGGTCTGGCTCAGCCAAGGGTTGTGAACTCGCTTTTTCGAGACAGACATTGGTCAGATCCCATCGATTCTCGGTTGAATAAGAAGGAAAGAGAGAACTGGTCACTATATGAGTAAAACGGTGCTTTTGCTACGATTATTCGCAGCAGATTCTTATACGTAAGAACAGCTGTCTGGTTGCACATATACTCCTCATCATTTTCTAGACTATGTATCTATTCGACGAAGAGGAATGTAGCATTGGCATGGAGATGGTGTATAAGGAAATCACATAGCCAATCTTGGTATACGATCATTTGATTGATTTCTCTACTCTTCAGGGAATCCTAGGCTGTAATATCATTCCTTCCTACTTCGGTATGATAGTGCATTTAATGACTTCTCACATCAACTCATAATACATTTGACCAATCTTACAGATTTTGACTGCAAACTTCAAAATGAATTTCGCCGTTCAAGTTAATAAGAAATGTACATTTAACAAGATGAGTTTAGCAGTGATATCTAACGGCTCACCGCTGCACGCACAAGTCATAGTTT